AGTAAGATGGGCTGAGTGCGAAATAAACCGGCTTTAGATTCGTGCAAATGGACAGTCCCGAGCGCTCTGTCGGTTGGACAAGGAAGATCTGTAGCATATGCGTGCCATTTAATAGGGCTTCGTCTATCGCGGTCGGGTACAGTTCCGGAACCTTAAACATGTTTGCTGGAATCCAGGGACTACAGGACATTACCTTCTCAGAGGGTCAACATACTTGCTTATTTGTATAGAAGGCAGAAGAACGTTCTCTGGAACCAGTATTTTATTTGCCCAACGTTTCGGACTCTCATTCGAGGCCATTGTCAAGGGATGAAAACGTACACCTCGCTGCGTGATTAAGTCAGCTCTGCCGTGGGTGACCTTGAGTTCCCATTGTTCGCTCCGCCGCGAGTAACCTTGAGCCCTGCCACAGCTTGCGCAACGCGAGATAGGCATCTGGGAGATCGATATGCCTATCAAGAGAGTCCGCGTCCGAGTGCCATGCTTCTTGCAATGGACGTGAGACTCGATCGTCCGACTGACCTAGTATTCGCACGGGTTCGAAGTCGAAGCCGTGCCTTGGCGAGGATGCGTGGGCGGCGACCAAGGATAACTTGTCCTTTCTTCGCACGGCGAGTTCATGCTCGTGCAGTCTCGTTGCAAACCGTTTGCCGGTTTCGCCAACTTACTTGCACTTGTTAAGGTTGCGATTATATCTGCTCTAGCTAGCCTCGATGATACCATGGACTGTAGCTCTCCACACGTGACAAGCCGTGACGACGGGCCTACAAACCGTGGCCGCTTCCGTGGCCTAACGAACTTGGTCGAGTCAGCTTTCGAGCTGACCCCATCTTCGACGCCTCCATTTGGGTAACGGCACCGGATCGAGGGCAGTGACACTCAGTTTTTGAGATGGACAACGAAGAACTTGCCCGTATCACCTCGGTCGTCTTTCTTGGAGGGCTTGAGATATCCTTGTGATAATGTGCCAGCGAGTGCGGACTGCCTTATTTGAGACGAAGTGGGTGTACTTCATTTGAAGGATGGCCATCGAGTAGTGGTGATCAAATACCTCCAATGTTCCTTCATCTTCCACGCATGTAGCCCGGCATTCACAGCCACATAGAAGGACAGGCCAAACGGATGCACGATTCTCACGAATTTTCGCGGCGATAGAGATGTAGCGTCGTTTCTATGGACACTGTCGAGCGCTTGAGAGAATTCGACAGGCAGCATCGATTCGGGAGACAGTTTCGTGCTTACTCTGTTCATTTGGCAGCAGGAGTTATTTAAGACAGTGTACTTCTTCAAGTTGACAGCCACCAATCTCGAGAGCAACTTTCTCCTGGTCAGGATGCAGTTTGAAACCACTTTGATCTTCCCGGCGTTTATTGACAAACCGACGGATTTAACGACCTCATTCATCCGTGAAACCATAGACTGCAGATAAAAAAAGACTTGAAGCTAGTAAGACGATGTCATCGACGTAGTCGTGATCAGTCAGTCGGAATCCTGATGTAGGCTCAATGGCTTCCCGATAATCCAGCCAATAGTGTTGTTGAAGAGAATGGGCGACAGGATACAGCCTTGTCAAACGCCAGAGCGAATACTGAACGGTTCTGAAAGATTATACTATATCAGTACTCATGCAATGGTTGAGCGGTAAGAAGCCTTGAGCATGACAGCGATTTTGGTGATACATCATCAAGTAGCATTATCCGCCATAAGGATTCACGATGGACGGAATCGAACGCGGCTGGAAAGTCAGCGAAGTAGATGGCCGTCAGTTGTCGGTAACTATAGCGGAATTCAAGGTTGTGACTCGATGTAAATATCTGGTCCACATATCCACTCCCAGCACGGAGTCCGGCTTGATCGGACCTCGTC